CAAAAACCCCAAAAAAAAAAAAAAAAAAGGGTTTCAGGACACAGGATGCTAGGAGGGGTCCTATGGCTTTTGCCCCCTGGTGGGCAGCCACTGAGGGCCTGGCCGAGGGGTGGTACTTCTTGGTTTGTGGAAGTGTTTTCAGAGGGCACATCCAGGGACACATTAGCTCATCTGTACAACTTTTCTGCAGGGCACATGTGTAGCCTGGGAGGCAGGGACAGGGCCCTCCGGGATCAATGTCTTGGTCTGGTCCAGGGCCCTGGCTTTTTGACTCAAACAACTTTATTTTGGGGCCTGTTTCATATCCATCCTCCCTCTGGCCTGGGCAGCCTTAGTTTACCTTAGTAGGTCTGTTGACTAAAGCTTGGGCATAAGTGATTGGAACTTTTGGTCCCCTCTGTCTTGGAAGCCTCTGATTTCCTGTAAATGGGTTCACTCCCTCCTGCTTTGCACACCCCGTACGTGCCCGGCCCATGTTCGTCATGAGGTCCTGTACAAGTTACGAACCTTCAGTTTCCCATGTACGTCCACTGCATGGGCTGTTGAAGATTAAGTAAGGTGCCAGGTCAGAGTGCTTTGCTCAGGGTTTAAACCCGGGCTTGTCTGACCGTAACTCAGGGCCGAGGATCACCCACATCTCCAAGGTGAGCGATGAGTCCCAGAAGTCCTTGTGGGAGGTTGGTGGTGATGGTTGCCCTTATCGTCATGTGTCTTGCTCACTTAGGTCCAGGACCTGCAGCTGGAACGGGAGATGGCGCTGGCCACCAATCGGAGCCTGGCGGAGAGAAATCTGGAGTTCCAGGGTCCCCTGGAGATCAGCCGCTCGAACCTCTCAGACAAATACCAGGAGCTCCGGAAGCTTGTGGAGCGGTGCCAGGAGCAGAAGGCAAAGCTGGGTAGGGACTGCTGACCCTGGAGTGTGCTCCAAGTGGCTTCTCTCTGAGCTCAGGGTTCCTGTTCGAGGTTGGACCAGGGGCTGGTCCTGTGGCCTGGAGGTTAAGGGAGCCAGATCCACATGGCCTAAAAACACGCTGGACACCTATGTATTTGTGCCCCAAATCCCAACAGGATGGAGAAATGGAGGAAAAGAGATTGCGGCGTGGCCATGCCCCATTGGGGTACTTTTGGCTTGTTCGAACGGGAGATGGCGCTGGCCACCAATCGGAGCCTGGCGGAGAGAAATCTGGAGTTCCAGGGTCCCCTGGAGATCAGCCGCTCGAACCTCTCAGACAAATACCAGGAGCTCCGGAAGCTTGTGGAGCGGTGCCAGGAGCAGAAGGCAAAGCTGGGTAGGGACTGCTGACCCTGGAGTGTGCTCCAAGTGGCTTCTCTCTGAGCTCAGGGTTCCTGTTCGAGGTTGGACCAGGGGCTGGTCCTGTGGCCTGGAGGTTAAGGGAGCCAGATCCACATGGCCTAAAAACACGCTGGACACCTATGTATTTGTGCCCCAAATCCCAACAGGATGGAGAAATGGAGGAAAAGAGATTGCGGCGTGGCCATGCCCCATTGGGGTACTTTTGGCTTGTTCCCCCCCCCATATGAACATATATACATCCTTGGCAAATTAAACCAAATAATTAATTAACAACAAACAGAAAGGACTGGGCAGAGTAGTTGGAATGGCACAGAGGAGTAGATTCCTTCCCCTGTCCCCAGGATAGGAAAGGACTGGCAGTTACGGAGGCTCACTGTGTTCTGGGGCCCTGTGCGAGGTATACATACTCCTCCTTCACGTGGGTAGCCATACAGCGACAGGTGTTGCCATTGCTCTCATTTTATAGATGAGAAAAAGGAGGCTCAAAGAGACTTGAGAACTTGCCTCAGGTTACTCAGCCAGAAACAGGTGGAGTCGGGATTTGTATCCAGAATCTGTGTCCTTTGCTGCTACTGGTGACTCAGTTACGTGCCTTACAGAGCTAGTCCTGCACACTGGCTGTCAGAGTGGGCTCTTGGTGACCTGAGGCCTGTCACCTGTGAGGACGGGCAGGGCTGACCTGGGCTCCACAGGAGGAGAGCTTTATGCTCAGACAGGTTATAGGTAGCACTCTCAGTGTGGGACAGCAGCATGGAAATGGTCGGTGGACCCTGAAGTCTGAGAATACGCCCCTCTTCATCTCCTGTCGAGGCTGTTTGGCCCAAGTCTGGGCTGGGCTGGGCTTGGCCGGGCTCTTCTCTGTGCAGGGTGGTAACCCAGGGGAACTGGACTGTAAGGACTGCAGAGCGGTGGCCAGGTTGCTGCCCATGAGGCTGGTGGAGTGCTTGTCCTGAAATCCCAGTTCCAGCCCCGAATCAGGACACACCTTTGAAATGCCAACCTTTCTACCCTGTCTTACAGAGAAATTTTCGTCAGCACTGCAGCCAGGGACCTTGTTAGACCTTCTGCAAATCGAAGGCATGAAGATTGAAGAAGAGTCAGAGGTGAGATGGCGAGTTGACACCCCGTCTTCCTTGGATAAGGTGTCGGGTCCTGCAGTAAGAGCCCTTGTAATGAGCAGCAAACGTCTGCAAAGCCCGAGACGAGGGAGCGCGAGTAGACGGTGAAGATGAATGGCACCTTTCGTCCCAGTGGAGGCTCACTTGGCCACAGATAACAGAACCCAGTCTCACAAGCCAAAGTGGAAATGGACGGGCAACAGCAAGGCCCTGGGGCAGCTGGCAGTCCTGCCTGGGAGGACAGTGAGCAGGAGCCCTGAGAGACTGAAGCCAGGCCTGCTTAGCCCTCTGCACTGCCTGCTTTCTGCTTCCCTCTGGGCATCTCTTCAGTGTCTGTAGCTAGGCTGGCTCTGTCTGCGTCCCTAGCTCTGGATGAAAGAAGCTTCCAGGTTTCCCCAGGCCCCGGGCTAGTATGCATTAGCAGCCCTGTAACTAGCCTTTATCCAGTTGTTCCACACATGTGCAGGGCCACTGTGAACCTGGCACGAGGCCGTGGATGGGTGGGCAGTAGTGACCGCACCAGGCATAGTCCCCTCCCCTCGAGGAGCTGGGATTCTAGTGAAGAGACTGAATGAACAACTGTACCTATATGTCAGCAGCGTATATGTGAGGGCCATGAAGGAAAATCCGCAGATGGGGGCAGGGGAGGGGAAGGCAAGCCCAAGGTGGGAGGGCCCCAGCAGAACTCTGAGGCAAAGCGAGGGGCCTTGGTCTTGGCCAGCCCTGTGATCAACAGATGTTATGTCTTCTAGGCCATGGCCGAGAAGTTCCTGGAGGGCGAGGTGCCCTTGGAGACGTTTCTGGAGAATTTCTCCTCCATGCGGATGCTGTCCCACCTGCGCCGGGTTCGTGTTGAGAAACTCCAGGATGTGGTGAGGAAGCCCAGAGCTTCCCAGGAACTGGCCGGTGACGCTCCTCCACCCCGCCCGCCACCGCCGCCTCGCCCAGTGTCCCAGGCGACACCCTCTGTAGCTGAAGAGCAGCCGCCACCACCGTCAGGCGTGCCTCCGTACCCTTTGCCCTACAGCCCGTCTCCTAGCATGCCTGTGGGCCCCACTGCCCACGGAGCCCTGCAGCCGGCCCCTTTCCCTGTGGTGTCACAGCCCTCCTTCTACAGCGGGCCTGTGGGCCCCGGTCACTCGTCAGCCCAGCCGGGATCCCAGGCTGCTGCAGGCTACTCCTGGTCCCCACAGAGGAGCACGCCGCCTCGGCCAGGCTATCCCGTAGCCCCAACTGGTGCCTCTGGCCCTGGCTACCCCGTGGCGGGAGGCCGGGCCCCCAGTCCTGGTTATCCTCAGCAGTCCCCCTATCTTCCAACAGGAGGAAAACCTCCCTACCCAACGCAGCCCCAGCTCCCAGGCTTCCCAGGACAGCCCCAGCCCTCATTTCCCCCTCAACCTCCTTATCCCCCTGGGCCCGCCCCTCCCTATGGGTTTCCACCACCTCAGGGGCCTGTGTGGCCTGGATACTAGATGTCGTCCTGGCCCTCGGCAACCCCTCTCCCTGCACCACAACCTTCAGCCTGCCCTTCGCTGAGATTCGAGGTGGAACGAGAAGTGGAATTGGTGCCCATGTGGACTTGAATGGAGGCCTTGGAGGGGCCTGGCTGGGAGCTGCAGGCCCCAGGAGGCCCTGGGCAGAGGGACTGGGTTGGCTGCGGCAGATGGTCGCAGGACTTGCTGGCCTTGTGGCCACAGGTCCCCCAGGAGCTCCTTTCAGTGACTGGCTTTGGCTTTTCTGGTCTAGCCAGACTGGAGGTCTGGGACCTCTTGTGGGTGTGTGTGAGCCAGTGTGTACACATGCTTGTGAACGTCTGCTTGTGCCCGCACTCAGGATGTCTTATCCTAGTGCAGTTACCTCGACGACGAGGTCCCTACCCCTGCTCAACCTCTCTGCCCTGGCATTTGGCGCATTTGAGATAATGCCTCGTGCCAGGGGCTGCTGTTCTGTATGTCTGTCCATTCCATTCACAGGTTCTGCCCCATGCACCAGGGCTAGATTGGATTGGTGGGGGAGATGGAGATTTTTAATCCTACGAAGCCATAATTTAATTCCCACAGGCTGGTGTTGGACAAGCTTTTCATGAGCTGGTTTGAATGACAGTGGCGCCAGGAGAGTGAGGAGGATGGGAGTCATGTAAGGCGACCCCAGACCTCGCTCAGGCTGGTTGGGAAGTCCAGGGGGCTGCCTGGGCCCTCGGCTGGAGGGAAGGGACAGCTCCAGCCCCGGAGATTGTGGTCACATTGGAATTCGTTTAGGAGTGGAGGACAGGGTCACCTCCACAGCCAGCCTTCTGGGGGCCCTGTACTTATGGTTGGCTTTCTCCAAGGCTCGCTCATCTGTCCACCCCTTCAGTGCCTTGAATCTCATTTGCAAACAGCCCTCTCCCTCTTCACCCCTCCTCCAGCCCCCTAGGTGTAATTCTCCCTCGTCTGCTTTAGACAGACATCTAAAGATGCCCTAATGGTAAGTTCCCAAATGGTGCTTTCTGAAACGCACCTCTTGTCTTCAGAACGTAAAGAGCAGAGATTGAGACTCAGTTCCATGGGCCCGGCACGTTGTGGGGCTATACGCATGTCCATTAATAAAAATGATTACAGTAGACCAAAGGGGGTGTGGGGAATGAAGCATTAACGTGGTCGTTCCAGATGTGAACCAGGTCTCAGGGCAGACTCTGGAGCTGCTATCGGTAGGAAGTCGTATGTGCCTTGAAATGTCCACTACCCAAGCACCCAGCATCTGGTGGGCCTGGGGGTGTTGGGGGCCAAGGAGGAAACGACCTTCTGGTGCCTGCCCCCCTCCCCGGCCTGCGTGCCATCGGTGGGTGTGTGTAATGCTAGATTAGCGCTGCTGGTTCCTTACCAACTGTGCTCGCTTCTCCTAAGTTATTTATAAAGAGAAATCACTAATGGACTCTACTGGTTCGAGCGCTTCTGAACTGGATGAGTGGCCGCCCGGACGTTTGTGTAATTACTTGCCATAATAAACTTTGATGAGTTACATGTGGTGCTGCGGCTGTTTGTGGGGCCTTAGTTTTCCCCTGCAGCCCCCAGGATCGTGCTCTACTGAAAGCCCTCTTTGATTATGTCTCACATGCCATCCCTACGGAAACTCCTTCAGCCCCACAGCCTGGCTCAGCCACATTCCCCTTTCCTCGTCCAGGTCCCGCTCTTCGTTTTCCTCCTTTGCCATTTCCTCGCTGGAGCTGCCATCTGGTTTGCTTTGTCCTGGGCTGTGGCATGCAAGGCCACAGAGTCCCACTAGGGGGCATTCAGTCCTCAGCCCCGCTTGGGAGGCGTTGTGTGCCTGCCACTTGCTGGGCTGGCAGGGCCATCCGCTTGTCAGCCTGATTGTGACCCATCCAGTGTCTGAACAGGATTGTAGGGCAGGGCCACTAAGCTGGCTGCAGAGTCAACCCTGTTCTGCCACGTCCCAGCTGGCCTCCTGTCCCAGCATCTCCCTGAGCTCGGCCAAGGAGCTGGTTACCGTGAGCCCTGAGAGGGTATCTGGCTTTCAGTGAGAAAGGCTGCTTGGAGGGCGCCAGGAGACAGTTTGTAACAGTCCCTTGGGTCAGGCGTCCTGCTTTTCTTTCCTGCAAGGTGGCCCGAAGGCTGCCTGTGGGTAGTGCCCAGAGATGCTGGGCGTCACTGGTATTAAATACACGGCAGGGCTGCCTATTTGGTTCTCGTGTGCACTGTCTCTTTGAGTCCCCTTGACCCTCCCACCCCACACACCTTTAAATGGGGAGGAAGCCACAGAGTAAAGGATCCAGTGTCCAGGGGGT